TATAATAATGTTATAAAAGCATTGGCCTATGTTTTGAAAAAGATCTATGTAATGAAAAGGTGGTAATATAATAAAATTAGAAAATATTTTCTGAGAATTGGCATGTTTAAATCACACCGAAAGATATATAAAAAAAAGCTTATCGCATAATCAATATCAATATACTCAACACGTTTATTATTATAAAACAAAAAAAAAAGCTATTCTTCTTTTTCCTCCTCTTCTTCTTCTTCTACTACTTCTTCTTGACTCTCATAATAATAGTACTATTTTACTACATGGCTAAAAAAAGCACAAATACTGTCATTACTACTGATAGGGCCATCGTTAAATTAAGTCAGAGCCCAAAAAATAGCATAATTCGAAATTATTATTTTAAGACTTTATAACATAATACATAGCTTACTGATTAATAATAGCTGAGATGCACATTTCAGAATTAATAATCGTTTTTAGTATATTTTAATGAATATTTATTTCTACAAAATGAAATATGAATTATATGCATCTTTAGAAATACAATTTCTAAAATATTATTCTTGTTTTTATGTAGATAGATAAATTCTATCTTTCATAAATAGAAAAAAAAAAAAAACGAAATTCAGCGTGTCTATTTTCATTCTAATCAATGGCGTTTGTAAACGTGCACGGACGTCATCGTCGAATCCCAGGACTTCCGACGGTAAAGCTGGCCTGACTGCCTAGGTCCGTCCCAGGCCAACCAATAATAATTAACAAAATGTATTTTTTTAAATATAGGCCTATGGCGCATCCTGTACATGCACTTTTACAACAAAAGTCTAGGCCTACCTGTAGTACGTTCTACTGTACTTAGGCCTAGGCCTACACAAATTTGTTGTCGTCGTGGTATAATTCTGTATCTAAATGAACGAATGAACCTAGCTAGTCAACATCTAAGCTAGGCTAATTGATTTTAAAATCAATAACCCACCAGGACTATCTGTCGTTTTCTTCTTTGCAACAGTGGACGAAAAAAAGTCAGTTATTCTACAACGTTTCATGATTCTTTATCACTAAAAATTAACAAACACTCGTTTTGACGCACTCCGTTCTGTAGTGACACGTCTGCTGTTGAAAAAAAAACTTCCTAGCCTAATTTTGTGACTGGCTATGATGACGGAGGTGGACTATGTTGATTTATTAATAATATTTTGTTTGGGATGAAAAAAAGGAGAGTCCATTTCCCCAAAATGCTCCATCAGCACATAGTTTACACATAGTTTAGTGTGCGCTATGGACAGTATGGCTATGGAATTTACTAACCACACAATCCACAATTAGGTGATTAAGTCGCAAAACTTTATCTGCATTTGGTGGATTAAGTCGCAAACTTTAGCTTCGTTTGGTGGCACCATTTACTCTAGGTAGACGACGACCGGTTTCGTTACCGGTTGGTACATTTCTTACAAACATTCAGCCAAAGGCCAGTGAAAGTTGAGACGGCAGCCGGGTTTTTATCGGCCACAAGTCAACTCGGCCACAAGTCATTTACTGGTACTTCATTGTACTAATTGTTATTATTATTGCTGTTATTATTGTTGTCATTGTTGTTTTTATTACCGTTAGTTTTAATATTAATTATTAGTCTTAGCATTAACATTATATATTGTTCAAATTTTTGCTGATATTATTATTATTACATATATATATATATATATATATATATATATAATACATATATTTATAGTACCATATAAATAATAAATAATTTTCGATTTTTTATTATCATTATTCATATTATTATTATTATTATTATTTATTAATCTTAGTATTATAATTTTAATAATAGTAATTTAAAAAGTTTTTTTTATTGGCGTTTTATTAGTATTTTTCTCATATTATTATTATTATTAATATTATTG